AAGGGTAGGATTCATTCGATACATGAAAGACTTTGTTTAATAAAGTTTGTGCAGTCTAATCTTCCAATTTATTATATATTCTTGTTTAAGATTCCTACTAAGTGGCAAAGAAATTTGTCTTCAAGCGGCAATGAAAATTGTCTTCAAACAGCAAAGATTTTTTTTTAGAGTAGAGATATAAATACTTCAAATATCAGGAAGGTAGCTTGAAATTTTCTAATTAGTCAATGGGGGATTGGGAATCATATTTATCTTGGCAGAAAACCAAATCAATATTGTTGAAATGGTTATGGAGATGTAATAATGATGCCACAATAGCTTGGAGAAATTCTATGGATATAAAACATCAACTTGATAATAGTGGGGTGTTAGGAAATTTTTCAGGAACTATTTTGGCTATTTAGTGTGATGTGCTTTAGGTGTGCAGAATGCAACTTCAATGGTAATGGGAAATGAGAATGACACTTTTTTTTGGACTTTAAAGCAGTTTCTGTCTTTATATTTATCATACATGGCATCTTGTTTTTTTAGGAGAAAATATCTTATTCAAGGAGTTGCTACCTAGTATTATAGTCACTAGGAATCCTAACTGGTCAACAGAGATTCTATGATACATGACTGGTTACACAAAATGGAATATGCTATCACCCCTTAAGCGTCTTACCTAAAATAGGCTGCATTACTGGTTTTTTCTAAAATTGCTAAGAATTTGTTCTTCTTTTTTTATTTTTTATTTTTCCTTTCATGTTCTTGACTCTGGTGTCAGTGAACAATTCCTACGAATATTTCCAACTCTGGCATTAGTAAATATAGCACAAAACCAAAAATACGATACTCTTGACTCTGGTGTCAGTGAATATTTTCGCAGAAATGAATTTGAAGAAGAAACTTTTTGTCCTTTTTTTTTGTTTATCCTTTATTATTATTTGTCCTTTTTAGATGGAAGTAAAAAAAAAACATTGCACAATATATTTGCGTTTAACAGTAATAGTCCACAGATTGAGCACATTTACAAGAAACACAAACACAAGAAAAAAATAAAACAAAATGTGAGGGACCTATAAATAAATCAATGAAGATTCCCAAATATTTTTGAATTTTCTAATATCTAAAAAGGACTCGTTTAACCAAATATCTAACTAAAATGAGCATAAAAATTATGGTCAAGGTATAAGGGTGTGTTTTGCCAAACACATCCTTAACAAACACAGTGTGGGTTAACTAGGCCTAAAGCCTAAACCCGACCAACTCTTTTTTTTTTTGGGTTAGATCTAGCCTAACCATACATGAAAGGTTCACGCATGCATGCAATAGTGACTAGTTAATTATTTTAACAAAGAGGAAAGGAAACTTACCTAGGCGTGCAGCTGCTGGAGGAGAAGTTGAGAGAGACCGAGCTAAACAATAGAGGGGTTGAGGGGGCGGCGGCTAGTATAGGGTTCGCTGCCCCCTTTCTTTTTTATGTTTCTCTCTTTTAAGGTTTTTAGTAATGGCTTTCTCTTAGGGTCTCTTCTTTCATGGTTTCTCTCTAATTGTCCTTCCTCCTTTTTTTTTTGGTACACTGAAATCAGTATTTATAGTGCAAGAGTCCCATTGCTTGCGAGAAGTAAAGTCTCAATCAAACTCATTCTTTTTTTTTTTTAAGTTCGAATTAGAATCGAATTCGAAAGCAAACAACTATCATTATCTCGAGGATTATCTTGAAGAAGATAAGGATTATCTTGAAGGTAAAGATCATCTTGAATAAGGTAAGGATTATCTTGAAGAAGGTAAGGATTATCTTGAAGAAGATAAGGATTAACTTAAAGGTAAGGATTATCTTGACAATAAGGATAGAATGACAAAGGCACATTGTAGTCCCTAGTTTTCAAGCAAGTAGACAAATCACACTTTTCATGAAAATAAATCTCTGATCTTTTAATTTTATATTTTAAACCTTGTAAAATTAAATTAAAAGCTAATGAGCTAAAGTTGGGTTACAACAATGTTTAGATTTCCAACTCTTTATGCAGTTTGTGGAAATCTTAATGCTAAGATTTTAGAGATGATATATTGGAATGAATTCAGTTGGAATTGGTCCTTATCTTGGAGGAGAAGGCTTTGCGACTAGGAAAAGATAAAGGAAGATGAATTATTACATTTGTTATCGGGTGTTTCCTTGTGCTAAAATATTATTGATAGGAGAGTTTAAATACCAGACCCAAAAAGTGTTTTCTTAGTTAAGAGTTGCATTAACTTTCTCGAGTCTTCTCTTTTGACATGCAAAAACCCATTTCGATAAGATATATAAGACATATGGTACTTTGATGCTCTTTCAAAGTTTTATTTATGGTTTTCAATCTTGAATAAATTACCTACAATTTTTTTTTTATAAAAGATTTATGTTATAAAATAATAATTTAAATTTTCTTTTCATAAAAAAAACAAAGATTGAAACCTTAACTTATGATCTGAAAGTTATGGTCTCGAGGGTAGACTAGTTAGGATAATATTTAACTTTCATTAATCTCTATATGATTTTTTCTTATTATAGAATGGCATGGTATGGGTCTATGCAAATAAAGGTGTGGTATTTTTCCTTCTTTGCTATAGTTTGGTATTTTGGGAATGCTTGCAATAATTTGGTTTTTAATAAGAAAGAAACAAATTGAGATGATAGATGTTATTTTCTTTTTCAACCGGTTCTTATTCGGATAGAATGCAGTGATTGGATTTCTTACTAAACTAGGGTTAATCTCCTAAATTTAGATTAATCCTCCAAACTCATAACTTGTGAAATTTTAGATACGGATTCAATCAAAAATCTCAATTTTAAACCAATTTAATATTAAAGGATAAAATAAAAAATATTAATTTAAAAAAATCAAAGTATAAAAAATAAGAATCAAAAGAATAAGGATCAAAATTGATAAGAGAAAAAAATTGGAGATGAAATCTTAAAAAAATCAATTTCAAAAATTTTCTCAAATAGAAATCAAAAGAATGAGGATGAAATCTGACAGATAAAAAAATAAGTGGATGAAATTGAAAAAAATTCAATTTTATAAATTATATGAAATAAAAAAATAATAATTAAAATAATATGGACCAAATCTAAAGAAAAAACAAATTGAAAGGATGTTTTGAAAATTGAGAGAGTCAAACATGGAAATTAAGGAGAAGAGAAAAAAATAAAAAAAAAGTTTGTTGGCATCAAACTATATGTAAGTAAGACACACGCGTCACCTAGGGATGGAGAAGATATCGAGACAATTCAAACACTACCCTAAAAGTTATTGCTAGGCCACTAGACTCCCTCTCATGCCTCACTAAAAGATCATGAGAGCTTCTTACTAAGTGGCACATATATCGTATGTGCCGGCCAGTTGTTTTAAATAATATTTTATGTTTTTTAAAGATAACTAGTTATCCTTGAGTAAACTTGGTTAGAACAAAAAAGATAAAAGTATAAAAAATCCTCTAGACATCATTTTAATAATTTTTGCTTTTAAGTGTAATTAATCATTTTATTGTGTTAAAAAAAACTTGAACAACAACTAAAGATTTTTTTTATTTTAAGAATAATTTAATTATTTTACTATGCTTAAAAAAGGATGAGAATAATGATTTTCCTTGGTCAATCTAATAATAATTGACCTCGTGAAAAAATAAATACTGCCCCAATATAAAATTTATTAAGCTTTTTATAAAGATAAAATTGTTATTATATTGTTCAAATCTATAGTGTTTTGTAACTATATAAATAGTAAAACCTTGATTTACTTTAGTTGTTTTGTTAATAATTTATTTGATTATTATATAAAAGGGTGAAGTGTATCCTATTATACAATCCAAGATTTAATGGATCCTTTGAAAAACAAAACTTATTATACTACTAGACCAACTTCCATGGTGGGAGGAGAGGGTATGTTTTAGAAGGTAAAATTAGTAGAACAAATATTAAATTATCTTGGTATATCTTTGTAGGATTAGAAACTCCAAGACAAAATTGACA